TACATTTATAATGTAAACAAATATGAATATACAGAACTTCAGTGATGTATTTCAGGGCAAATAAGAGCAACATTGTGACCCTGGGCTCTATTTATTAAGCCTTTCTTGTAGTGTTTGGCACTGCTTCATTCTTTCATACTGTTATCCCCCCTTTTTTACAGAAGATAAAAGAAAGCCGTATATAATATTTGCAGGTCTCTGCTGAGGTCTTAATGCATCTGGAACTACACTGAAGAAAACAGAGATAGAAATCTGGTCCTTTTTGGGCTCCATTTAACTCTAACTCTGAAGCTGTCTTACAGCTTAGGGTTTTTATCATGCTAGAAAAGAAATACTGCAACTTTTCTTAAACACTAGGCTGTTAATACTGAGCAATGAGATGAACTGAAAGTAATATTATTTTTCAGGTATCCTTACTATTTCCACAGCTAGCTGCCTGCAGAAATGCAATGGGTCTGATACTGCCTGTCCTGTTTCCTGGTGATGCACTTTGTGTAGCATCCTGGGACCAGGTTTCAGAAATCTGCTTTCCTCGTACATGTGCTGCCCTCCACATCATAGTAACTAGCACAAACAGGAGCTGCCTGCCTAGGACTCCCTGCATGCTAATGGAAACACTTAATGACTAAGAGGATGTCATTCCCCAACCAAGTTCAAAGATTAACATTTGGGGTTTAGTCTCACCATTATTTTTGTAAAAAGACATCTTTTGTTACATTTCCAGAGCTCAGTTATCATGCCATGACACACTGCATCCAGTTCTGATAAGTAATGAAAGTTATGATTTGTTAAGCTCCTTATGAATAGAGAAGGCTTACCTGAAGGTTGAAACTGGCCTCTAACTTGAGATTTTAAATCATTGTTGAAGTGTTTTGACTAGGCTGCCTTTGTGTATACTAAACAGTTTAAGGTTACTTTTTAATCCAGTGGTGCCTGTTTTATTATGTTGACTTGCTGCAATTGAATGCTGTTCTGTTCATCTCTGCCAGCTGTCTCCTTGGGATACTCTAGTAACAAAGTTCTTTTATCTCAGAGGAATGAATTGTCAATAACAAGCAAATAATAACTTTTCTACTGAATTTTCAAAATTAAAAAAAAAAACACTTCTTCTGTCATATCTCCCTTATAATGTCTTGTGAGGGTTAGTTGCTCTGTTCTTGCACTGTGAGCCTTCAGGAGTTAAATGTTTATAGCATGACACAAAGGTAGAAGAGGTACATATTGCAGCAGTGTATTCACCATATTCTGTGGATATTTTTTAGCTGAAGGAAGTAAGCCCTGGTTATTACAGCTGTCACGGTGACATCTGATCCTTCAGTATCAGTGACTTCCTCACCCACCATATGACCCTGATCACTGGCATGATTCTCTGTCTACTATTAAAGTGGGAAAGGTCTTGGCCCTCCGGGTTCTGTTTCAAGTCTGAAATAGCAACTTGTCTGTCACACTCCCTCTGCCAAACTTATTGCTTAAGGACCAAGCAAAAATGTTTAATGTAGAAAGGATCTCATGCAGCAACAAAGTAAAGAATGTGTCTTGTGTCTGTTTCAGGGCTGATGTAGAGCTAGGACACTGGGAGTGCATCAGTTCTTAAAAAGGAGCAAACATTAAAGGAAATTTGAGGCTTAATCTCAACAATTATATTTTTGCACTTTCTTTCTTCTTTTGGGGAACACACCTCTTGAAAGTCATGAGAGGTACCTTTAAATTTCACACAAGAACAGGGGTGTATAATAGCTTGATAAATTCCATGAGTCAAAATTGAAAACTTTAAAAATATTGTCATACAGAAATTCATATCTAAAGCAATCTTAGCTGAATTTGAGAAAAAAAAAATTAGCTAACAATCAAAAATGTTGCATGAAAATATATTTTAAAACCCTAAAATTCTAAACCAAACTCCAGAATTGCGTAGGCGAAATGAATAGGGCTTCCCATGATGTGCATTTTCCCCTCCTTAGCAAGTACCTTGTTTGTAGTATTAATTTTAAACTTGCTTAACCTAGGCAACATGAAAGACTTAGACAGGATACTTTTCTATGCAAATAGATATGGCTTATAAGGCTACCTAATTTTTAAGAATGAGGCATTGGAAAATATTCTGTACACAAGATAACAGAACTGGCCTAACTGGCAATTGTTCTGTACATTGTGCAAGCTTTAACCCAGCAGTTGTCACATGTTTCCAGCCCTGAATGCTCATATTTTTAAGCCCTGTGGTGTTGTTAATTTAATGTATGTGGGTCTTGACAACCAAGAACCGGTGTTTGCATATTGAAATTCAGCTGCATCTGCACTGAACCAGAAATTAAGTAGATATAATGCCAGAGTAATAGAGAGGTTGGGTAACCAGCTTCTATAAGTTTTGGAGTGATTTTAGGTTCTTAAATACAGTATTACAAATCTTTTTTTTTTTTTGCTTTAATGGATGTGCCTGTGAGCATCTGACCTACAATTCCTCCTCTAATGCAGGGGGAGGGGCACTTCTGGGCAGAGTGCTTCTGGTCACCTTTGTCAAGGTAGTGCTGTGTTTCTTACAGTGACCCTCATGATCAGGAAATCTTTACAAACACAGCTGCAGCATGTTACATTGAAAAATGTTTTTCTTTGAAATAGAACTATACACATTTTAATACCCTTTGCAATATATTCTGGATTGCAGTTGCAAATACCATTTTTTATAGCATGAAAAGTCCTCTCTTCATATTTTGTCAGAAGCATATGTCCGTGTGTAATGATATACATATTTAATATGTATATATGCTCACATAGTGTATGTGTGTATATATATATATATATATATATATATATATATATATCAAGTGACTTCATAGCTTATGTTAAGATAACACCATCCTTTAAAAATAAAACCTTACAAAATTTTATATAGTTGTAAACTAAAGTTATGAAGTTATATGTGAAGTTAAAAGGTTATAAATGTAGTTCTGCTTATCTTAGTGGAAAACCAGATCAGAAATTGTCAGCAGAGTACTTTTAGAAGAGTTCTGTCATGACTCTGAAGATGGAAAGCAAGATAGACAAGGATTTAGAACTGATGCAAAAGGAGAAGGCAGGGCATGTGTTCCTGAGAGAAAACCATAAAAAGAAATGGAAAAAGTGGGAAAATTAGGGTGTGTCCACTCTGAGCATATGTTAGACATTAACTCATAGCAGGCAAGGCTTTGCTCTCTGTTAAAGGAAAAACTAGAATTCTGTTGAATAAGGGACACAGAACAAGCAAACTGGATTGGACAAAAAATTGTTGCCCTTCTATGGAATATCCATAATGGCTAAATTTCTCTATGTGTCCTTGATCCACTTGGTGTCTGGATCTGCGCTGCTCATTAAAACAGTGTTTACTGTAAACAGAAATATCACACAACCAGAATATTTTGGGGCTAGAAATGGGATTATGTAGTTTCACCAATCCTCCTGTTTTCACTTTAAAAGTAAAAAACTCCTCCTGTTTCCTTTTAAAACTAAAAAAAAAGGTTGTTAAAAATTGTCAGCCATTTGTCTGTGGACAAGTGCTGGGTTTGATGCTGCCATTGGCCATTTAGGGGTGAAAGGCTTTGAGTGCTGTGCTCACTGGAGTGTAACTCTGTGTTTGTTCATTTTCAGGCATGTGCAAAGCCTTGGCCTTCACTATGCTCATAAGTCTTCCACAGTGATTATGACTAGGGTCCTTAAATTATATTGTAATTACTATTATTCATAGTAATGGCTTACTGGTAATAATTACTAATAATCTTGATAATCCCCTAAGGAAAAATACTATAGGTTTAAAGCCAGAGATGGAGTCATTATAACAGAGACACTTGTTTCTTGTGTCCCTCTTGTAATAAAGTAATTAATTCCTAGATTTTTTTTTTTTTGAGGGTGATGAAGAGATTTCTGAAGAGATTTTTCTCATAACAACCCTCTCTGCCCACCTGCCCCAAAAACTAAGAGTGGAAGAAAGAACAGACCTTTGTCCTGACTATGAAAAATTCAAGCAGCAAATATGGCTTGTTTCTATCCAGCCTTCTGTCTCTCCTTCCCTATTTTTTCATCCTAATTTCATAGTCTTCTGTGCTTTCATAAGCCCATAGTGTGTGGTAGACAAAAAAGTAAAGTATTTATAGCTTGGTAAACAACATCTTCCCAGAAAACTTTCATAAAACCTCCTTCTTACAGGATATGTTGCCAGTTATGCATTGTTTTTATATACTTAAATTTGTTTCTAAAAATGTGCACAAAGATCTGGCTGTGTTTATCCATGGCTTTAAAAGAGCAACAATCAAAAGGAACTGTGTACCATGATAATTTAGTTTTCTGACTCAATAAAGAAATTCTTATTCACTTCTACAAGTGCATCTCTGTCCAGTGATTTGTCCCATATTCAGAATGTACCTGCAGCTCTTGGCATCAGGGAGGGCAAAGAGGCAAATATTTCTCATTGGCAGGTGAAGTAACATAAACCTGAATGGTGTGCTCAGATTTTTTCAATAAATGTTTTTTGTCACTACAGAGCTTATTACAACAGCAGTAAAGGCACGAAAGGAAATTAGAAACACAGCTGAGACTGCATCTCATACTTAATAATGGCCTAAAATTCTTACTGTTTATTAAAACTAACACCCCTTGTCAAGGTGTTGATCAAAAATTCTCTGTAGTCTCTTTTCTTTGATATTTTCATTTTAGAAACCACAGATATTTGTTGCCACTTCTTTATTTAGGTTTATGTCTAAAGCATTGAAACTCAAAACTGCTTCCCAATAATGTTCTATGGTAAGGAGTAATCCTGAATTCATTGAACCAGCAAACTCATCACTAAACAAATTTGTCCACTAACAAAGAAAGGAGAGTTCTGGTGTAACAAAAACATAAAAGGTCAAAGATGGCACTAGAAAGGATGCCTTTGAAAAAACCTGTCATCTCTGAGTCTCATGCATCTACTGCTGTCCAGTCTGAATATGGGCATAATCTATTCTAATATCCACATTCACCTTTTGTTTCAGCAGCTCCTTGGCTCCTGCACATGCAAAACATTTGAATTTCCTGTTGGCTCAGAGGTGAGATTTATAACGTTTATTAAAGCTGCTTTTCGCTGTGAGTTTACTGGGCAGAAAGCCTAAGAGGGCCTCTTTTTTTTTTTTAAGGGGGTTTAATTGCTTGAATTTACCAGAGGGGTGAACATTATGCTTTCTTTGCAGCACCACTATCCACTAAGATTGCCAGGTGTTGAATTTCCCTAGAGGTTCCCTATTTATTGAAGGAATTCATGAAATATCCATCTATCCAGAGCCAGAGCTCCTACCATCCCTTTCGCATTCATTGTCTTGATTTTGTTTCCTTCATGGCTGCTTTTGAATTTCTTGAGCCTGTTCATTTGTCTGTTCCTGTCTGTAAGTGTCCTCCCTCCTCTCTACTTGCACACCTTGAGCACTACAAATGGGCCAGACTTCCTGGGAGCTGGACGTGCCTGAAAGCCTTTGCTGGGATGTAGCTGCTGGTGCAGAGGGACAGTTCAGTGCTGGGAGCACACTGGTGCTCTTGGCAGGGTGGGAAGGGACATCAACAGAGGACAGGAAAGACAGGACAAGTAGAGGGAAGGCTGAAGAACAAAGATGTATTTTTCAATGTTTAAAGTAAAAGCCTAGAAATAACCCTTTAATGGCAACCCTACAGTAAAGTGAGCCCAAGGAAGGCAGACCATAATTGTTAGCAAGTGTATTGTTAATGAAATTTACTAATTTACTGGTGGAGCAGCTGCTTCAGTTGAAAAATAAATTGGAATATTTTGGTGCATTTCCTCTAAAAAGTCATCCACTGTTAAGTCTATGTATTAAAATTACATAGTCTTAAATGGGGGTATCCTTCACTAAACAAAAGATATGCAAATTACATTTCAAGATTTATATTATGATAAAAACTGAAACACAAAAGAGACATTATCTTGCAAAAATGTAAAAGTACATTGCTTCATGAGTCTATAATGATATAATGTGATGTTGATGTAGTTAAAAATGTCAGAAGGGAGACAATGACCTTAAAAGTTTAAGGCAGACACATTAATATTGATTGATTTTTAAGAGATTAAACAGCAAGAATATATCTATACATAGACTGGATATTGGATTGTTTGAAAATTTGAGATGAGATACAGAATATTTCGGTCTTGCAAAGCTTTAGACTTAATAGCAAGAACATTCATTATATGCAGCCATTTGTACTACAGGAAACGGGATGATGATTTGCCTTGACTTTATCAGGCTATTTCTTGTAAAAACCAGTGGTGTCAGACAGAGCTAGATGGTTATTTCTGGTTTAAGCACAAATGCTGGTATGTCATAGATGTCAAAAAAGTCTTAATGTTGGTTTGTTTGTTTTTAACCTTGTTCCATATCTCTGTAGATCTGTATGGTGTATTACAGCTATTTTATATACACACACATACACAGATTCCTAAAATATATTGAGCACTGTAAAACCTCAACACCTGCTGGCCTTGAACCAAATAATGTGTCTGCACATCAAATATCGTGTCTGTTTTTTTTCCTATTTTTTGTCAAGCTGGAAGAAGGTTGTCAGTAACACTTCTTGTTTAAGTAAGTTTAGGCTCATACTTATATCCATGTTTATGCCAGCAAAATCATAATGAAATGTGCTTCTCATTGATGAGGAAGGTGCTAAATATTGTGATATTTATTATTCCCCTGGGGCAGTTTGTTTTATCATCTCAGGTTGATGGAAGTTTTGTCTCACTCAGAAATAAGCTGTACTCTTAATACACTTGCATTGGCCAGAGAAATGAGGATGTTGGTCATGGTTGACCCTTTAGACTTTCAGGAACCAGGCCACAGATGCCTTGGACTTGGAATTCAACTTGCAAGAGAGAACAAGTCTGACCAGTAGGAGATGGGCCATCTTGCTGAGAAGAGATCCTGAAGCATTGTACAGATGGAGATTTTAATTCAGAATCAGACCTCACAAAACATGAGGCAGATGAACATAAGGTGTAGACTACATTTTTGTAAAGATTTTTAAAAATATAACTTTTGAACAAATCATTAGTCTTTTACTTTTTTTCTCTGCAGATATTAAGTGACTGGAAATCAATATTTGAAGGAAGGAGAGCAGCTGGGAACTTGGAGTTCAGCATAGACGTGTTGCATAATAGAGAATTCTTGTTTTCCAAGAAGCAAAGACAGGAAGAATTATCATGTAGCCACTTTGCCTCCAGATTTAATTTTTTTTTAATAGAAAATAGTGGATTCTTTTTGGGAGAACTATCAAACAACAAAGTGGATGTCGTAGCTACATTCTGTAAATGTCTCTTTAATTTCACCAATGGTAAAACCTGTTTTGACCTTCTAGTAAAAGAAAATAGCCCAAATGGCGTCTTTAATATACCAGAGAAAGCACAGTATCTCCAAAGGGCCTGGCCTAAGTGAGCACCCAGAATCCCAGCAAGCCAAGAAATTTGAAGGCAGTCAGACTTGATTTAATTATTTTCTACTACCAGTCTCATTTGAGAGAATGATTAACGGGAGAAGAGACATAAATGGCAAAGTCTTGATCAAAGAAGCTGCTGTCAGAGTACCATCTAGATAAATTAGGAAAAGAATGCTCAGGTTTCTGTGAAAGAAGACTAATGACATCAAGTCAAGATGAAATAGAAAGGAGCAGCATTGCAGGCTGGAAATCATAAAAGAGTAGTGTGCCCTGACAAGAAGCCCTGAGAAATTTCCTGAACTGGAAAGTAATTGGAATTGGAAAGGAATTACTTTCTGTAAGTGCCGGGTCTTGAAGTTACGTGGGACTGAAGATGACCCAGGCACTAAACTTGCTTTTTGGAACCTGTCAAGACAAGTGAAGAAATCTTCTAGAAGCATCTGAAACAGCAGCTGTTAGTATCAGCTCTACACACTGCAGATGTTCTGCATCTTGTATGCTCACTCTACTCAGCTAGGATCAGTCCCTTCACTTAAAAGCTCAAACAGTCCCACCTGGAGGCAAGCAGACAGTGGATGAAAGGAGACTCTGAAACTAACAGCTAGTAAGCATTTGTGTATTTTATAGAACTTGTTTACAGGAATGGCAGTCTCCTGGAGAGAGTAGTGGCCCTAGCTGAAATCAAGAGGAAAGCTTTACAAGTGATCTGAATGTACTTGTGTGAAGAGAGGCATCTTAGAAGGTAGGATTTGTCTTTTGGTATACCATAAAGGATTTCAAACAAGTAAATTAAAAAAATTCCAAACCTCTTTCAGTGGTCAGAGGTGTACTCCTGGAAATCTAGTATTTAAATAAAAATAAGATTACCTGTTTCTCAGGGAACATTGAATTGTTATTTAAGTATTGACTTAGTTTTCTAACACTAGTATTCCTGTCTAGAGGAGCAGATCTTCTGTTAGAGGCCTCCTTGCCTCAGGTTTCGATTATAATATAGAGTAGCATTTCTGCAGACAAGCACTTAGTGTGATCAGTACTAAAACTGTGTGAGATTTGCTAATGTACTTTTCTGTGATGTGCAAAGTGAATGCCAGGATGCACCATTGTACCTGACTGCAGTAGCATGAAGTTATGCTTCAGCAGCATTCCATCGAAACGTGGGATTTTGAAGGCAGGGAAGCGGTCTCTGGGGTGTTGCCCGTCAGCAAGAGATGGTTTTTAAAAGTAGGAAATAAAGGAAGAGTCTGAACTGATGTTTAGAACAAATAAATGGGAGCAGCAAAACTTTCAGTGGTAGTATTATGTGCCATCATAGAACAATAGCTAAATGAAGCATGTATTTAAAATTTGGTGAGAAGCTTTTGTACATTTTAGTTCTGTTTAGCTCAGCGGGTGTGCTGCACTTTAGACTTCAGTCTCCAGGGCTGTCAATCCAACAACTTTCACAAGCACTATATTCACTTAAAAGCTGAAAGAGAAAAATAGAAGGGGATGATGCTAATAGCACTTAGCACTTATATAGCTTTCCTTCCTGAAAATACAGTACAAACATGAGGTAATTAACATGTATTTTGTCTTGGAGATGCAAATGTATCTCTAAACAACTTTTAAGCAAAGACAGTACAGACACATAAAACCAACCTATGCCCAATTGCATGTTTTCAAGCTTAAATATTTTGAAATGCTATTTTATGGTAGAATTTCTCACTGTAGTTGATCAGTAAGTCCAGCTTGTGGAAAACCAACACAGTATATTTCTTCATGCAGGGCTCCTTCTTCATTGTATGAAGAGCTTAATGTAATAATTTCAGATTTTATTTGATGAAGTGCCTGATACAGGTAACCACCAGCGAGTTATACAAGGGGGTGTGTTACTTGAGTAGTCAAAATATGGGATTTGGTTGCAGAGATGTACCAGTTATCCAAACTGCCAGGAGCCTCTGGAGCAATCCTGCTGTGCCTGCTCCAGTATCTACCCACCTGGTGTTAGCTACTCTGAATATGTCCCACAAAGTCTTGAACAGATAGTTACCCACCTAATCCACTTGCTTAGAACCTTCAAAGTCTTAAAAAGAACGAACCAGAAAAGAGAGGTTCAGCTGGCACTGAGAGAAGTTAAATGCCTTCGAGGAGAAAAAGAGACAGGTAAAACTGTAAGTCTCAGACTTAGTTTTTTTCTAAATAAGAAAGAAAAATGTCTGCAGCTGTGGTGTGTTTTCAGTACTTTTTTTAAAGTTCGGTGGTGTTTGCAAACCTGGAAATCAACTTATAAGTCAATTTGATAATTAAAGAGTTCTTTTGAGCCCTTGAGCTACTACCAAGGCTATCAGCACAGATCAACCAGGATGTGGAGCAAATCTGATCAGGGAATTATCTGTTTCACCCTCCTCTTCATTCTTAGGCTGTTATGAATTTAGGATGGCAAATCTGTCAAATTTGCAATTTCCTCAAGTAATAGAGTTTTGGCAGAAGGTGATACTGGTGCTGTACTGTACTCATGCACAGTTAGGTAAGCAATGCATGCTTCATTTGAGAGAGGCACAGAAAGCTTCTCAAAGTTACTGCATTGTAGTTTCTCTTTCAGTGCTGAGCTCAGCTGCTGAGAGCAGAGGAGGTGTGAAAAGACTTGTTAATAAAAGTCTGCTTAGATTTCATTACTTTGAATGGCCAGATGAAGACAATACACCTTGCCAACCCTCGGAGAATTTCAGTCCGCTCTGGAAAAACCTTCTTTCTTGCACTGAATAGCCTTCCCAGTGGAATGTTTATGCAATGCAAGCATAACTCTCTTCTGCTGCCTTTGATTAACAGAGGGAATGGAGACTGCCTTCCACTTGTAGAAGATTGATCAGGAAAGATGAACAAAAGAGCCAGGGAGGTCTTGTTTCTCCTACTCAGACACATCAAAGAAGCTTCTAGCTCCATCTTCCAATTTTTAAACTTTCTGTTTCCCTCCTATTTTAGAAAGGGGAACTCCTTTGAGTTAAAGGAGGAGTGATGGTGACTGGTGTGGAGGATAGATGGATGTGGCAGTCTGGCAGATTGGTGTGGCAAAAATGCCAGAAGCATTGGGGAAGGAATAACTCACTGATTAGCCCAGGAGATGAGCAGTTATAGGTTGGTTATGTTCAGCTCAGAGCTGGGCCTTGGGGAAGCCGTGTCTTAGCAAGCTCCAGCATGACTTCTGCATTGTGCCAAAAGCATTTTATTGGCTAGATCTGGAGAAGTGTCCTACCAAGGCTGACTGGAATTGAGGTGCAGTGAACCACAAAGAGCTCAACCAAAATATTTATTTCTTCCTCTTCACGATGGCTCTGGCCTCTGAGCAGTGAAATAAAAGTGAGCATTTCCGAATGAAAGCTGTAGCTATGGAAGTATCTTTGTCTACATGACGAGCCCTAGTGTTTAACCGAGCTGAGGACTTCAGAGATGTTTTTCAGTTTGCTGTAAAAGGAAAATATTAACCTGTGGTAGACTTGGCATGTGGCATGGGCAGGCTTTTTCTCCCCCAGAAAAATAAGCCTCCATTTTAATCACTGTGATTTTCTTTTGTTGTGGTCCTTTTAAAGTTCTGTGAGTTTTGCTTAGATATTTATGAAAGTTTTTAAAGACTTGATGAAAGCAGATATGGCCTTGTAAGCATAAATGCTACTGTTCCTTTCTCTATCAGTATATACACTCGCCTGAATACCCTGAAAAAAAAATATATACAGATTTTAAAACCCAGCTAGTAATAAATGACAAGAAATGAAACTCAGCTGGAAAGCTGAGTCAGTCTAGTTCAAAATATAATCCACTGTGTTACACTTTCGTTATAAATTCAAAATAAATTACAAAGGTTAGTAAATCTTATTTTTCTTTTTTCCTGTCCACTTGTATTTTCTAAATAAGCCTCAAATTTAAATGATTAATGATCTAGCTTAACTGAAAGGAAAATTATTCAGAGAAGAGCACATTTTAAATAGCACATTTCCATACATGTACTTTACATTGTTACTGAGTGATAACCTAATACAGTTAATTAGTACCTTCCTCCCTAGTATAACTTATTTGTCATCAGGAGTAGGATTTAGCCCTTTTCATCTTGTCATGGCTTTTGGTGTTAAGTGCTTGCAGTACCTTGCCCCATCAGGAGATCCAGAAGGGTGATGTTTCATTTTTCCCAGCATTGCAATTTTTTCTGTAGAGTTACTTAACAAAAACATTTTGTTATATGGAGTGGTTAGTGATGTAGTCATTGAAGTCAATATGACTTTCACAATTGATGTCAATGAGAAGAGGACTCTGTTGACTGTGACTGTGTCACCCCAGTAAAAGATGAACACTGTGCCCTTTTAAGTAATATATCACACCCATATTTTAAGGACATCACTTGTAAAAAATGCTCTGGAAAAGAAGGGAAGAGTGATGTGCCTGTTATTGCAAAACTTACCTTCTGAATTCTGTTTCTAGTTGCAAGAGAAAATATAAAATGTAAGGCATGTGCTTTATTAATATTTATTTAAACTGTCTTCTGATACATTGCCTTTCTGATGCTACGTGGTGTTCTCCTGCACTATTTCCCAGCATGATAGCTAATGTCCTGCTCTGAAAATTATCCATTAAAATTTTATCAATTTTGTGTTTGGTGAGACAGGATGAGGAAATGCCATTGGAAAATTAGATTCCTCTTTGACATCGGGCGCCCAGTCAGCAATCCAATCCCATGTGTTTCTACGGAGACATTAGGATTTGATATAATTTTGGGCAGAAAACATTTTAAAATGAAACAATTGAATTTTCTGGATGGTCTTTGGGACCACTTAGCTTAAGAGAATACACTTCCAAATCAAAAGCCTTTCAATCATTCTAAATATTATTTGGATGATATTTGCTTTATGTGTAGTAGCAGTTTGAATTTGTATTGAATGTTTGACTGGCTCGTGCTCACATAGATGATGTATGAAATTATTATTTCATGTTTTTCTGCTGTTTGCATTGCAAGTGACATCTGGCTGACAGGAACTTGAAGAAATGGGATACAAAGTGAATGCTGCAGTTACCACGGTATCATATTTATCAAAAGGCTTAAGGTTGGTCTGTCTTTGTTTCACATGTGAAACCAGCAGCAATGAAAAAGAAATGGCTCCTTTTTTTTTTTTTTTTTTGTTTAACTGAGCTGCTTAGAAAATTAAGAGAGATTAAGAAAAAAATGTTAATTGTATTCTGTATTCATTTAATTAATTTATGTAGACAATCATGTATACTGGCTGAAAGACAGTTCTCAACTTGTATGGAGGGGTTGGTTTTGTTGCTATTATACCTTTTGATTTTAGCTAATATTATATCTAATTCATACACTGTATCACAGAATAGGGAAGTCTGGAACAAGCTACTATAGCAGACTGGCACAGTTCTTTTTAAAATTTGTGTTCAGCTGTACAAATCTAAAGGTAGGTTAATTATAATTGCATTATATCTTTGTAAGGTACCTGTTGAAGTTCTGTCTTTAACCAAACTCTTACCCCTACACTTCTTCATTAAGCTCTTGATATGTCACTTCTCTAATGGTAAATTTGAATTAGTAAATTCTTGACTAGAATACAGGTTTTAAAAATTATTTTACAGTTTAAAATGTGGTATGAAAATTTACAATGCTTTAGAAATCTGAGTCCAGCTTGAAAAAAAGGTTTTTTACTAATGCATGCAGTTTGTGAGGAAGCTCTGATGTGTTACAGAACAAAACCAAAAGTGATACAGTGAAGT